CCATGTGCTTCCGTTCCCTCCTGTGCCAGAATTGTCCAGGGGGGCTCTGGTGCAAAGCTGAGAACTTGATTTTCTTCCAGGTCCTCTGCTTTGCCTCCTTGTGATTTGTTATCAACTTACCTAATGAACAAAGGAAAGCATTTGGTAACTTTTTCAGGCTGTTGTAATGCAAATATAGCTTTTGTATCATATCATGCCATAGACAAATTTTTAAAAAAGGAAAGAAGTGGAAGGCTTCCTTTTCCTATTGTGTTTCGCTAAGTCAAGTGAAGTGCAGCAAAATCCATCAGCTCGCCTTTAATATACATGTATTCCTGGGAATCATTTGTATATGTCACTCGCCATGTCTTCTGTGGTGAAAGAGAGCAAACCTCACCTGAGAAGTGGTACCAAGGGCACCCAGGCTGCACAGCATGAAGCAAAAAGATGCCTCAATGGCACAGAACCAAGTGTTTCAAACCCTTTCCTCTGGGTGTAGCCAGGCACCTGCTTCTGTTCTTCTCTTTCATTGTTTTACTTTGAGGTTTGGCTGGGTAGAAATCCACAAATCAAACATCTGTCTTGCTGCAGAAAATATCAGCCAAACCTGGGCTGATGTCTACCCTAGAACACAATGTCTTGAGCTTAATGATTCAGAATATGCACATTTTTATAAAATACATGGGTGTTCATATCATGTTTTGCATGGATGAGAGTAACAAAAAATGTAGTTCATCCCCTAATTTAAAAAAAGAATGAGGTGTAAATCTCATATTTAATAATTATTTCACAAAATTTTTATAGGCTCTAGAAACTTTATCCCAAAGGATAAAGGCTGTTTTCAGAGAGCTGTGGAAAAAAAAGTTAAAAGGGGAAACTGCTTGCATAGCTCCAGTGCTGCAGCTGGTGATACAGAGGTCCAGTAAACTACATAGAAGGAAATAGCACCAATAATCTTCACAAATATTTAGAATGGATGCAGGGTTTGAAGCTTTTGTATCCTGAGTGGGTTTTTCTTTTGGTCCACACTGTTAAAAGGGGCTGAGTACTCATTAACTGACTGAACATAAGTAGGGAAGTAAAAGAAATTATGAGTTTTCATAGTCTTTAGTCAGCTGAAATGCCTAAGTTGTTGTTCTAACTCTTCCCCACTGTTTTGTTTCCTATTTAATTCTATTTCTGTTAAAAGAACTATACAAAAATGAGAGTGATGGCAAAACTCAGCTTGATAAAGATAATTTGCTGCCATCTATGGCTTTTCATGTGGCACTCATTTGAGTTTTGTAACAAATTAAGACAAATACTTTACATGTAAGAAATCTGGATGAGGATGAGATGTTTGAAAACAGCAAATAGCCTTTAAGTAGTCAGGCTTTTCCTTGTTTTACACTTTTCTTTTCTTTTCTTTTCTTTTCTTTTCTTTTCTTTTCTTTTCTTTTCTTTTCTTTTCTTTTCTTTTCTTTTCTTTTCTTTTCTTTTCTTTTCTTTTCTTTTCTTTTCTTTTCTTTCTTTCTTTTCTTTTCTTTTCTTTTCTTTTCTTTTCTTTTCTTTTCTTTTCTTTTCTTTTCTTTTCTTTTCTTTTCCCAGACCCCCAGAAATTTCACATACCTCTTTTCATGCTACTGTCATGAGAAAATGTCTAACCAGCTTTGTGCTTTTGGGGCATGTCCATCTTTCCTTTCTCAGGATCCTCTGACAACGTGGAGAAGCTGTCAGCTCTGTTCAGATACACCTGGAAGTTTCTCCTTTTGAAGGGGGTAGAAGCAGAACTGGAATGAAAACAGCAGCTTGTGGAGGGGCTCCCAGTCCTCTATGCTGGGAGGTTCTGGACAGAAGGACTGTGCCTGAGCAATTATATACTGAGAAGTTGTTAAAACATAGGCACATTTTAACAGCAAATAAGGGACATTTTAAATACAAACAAGGTTCTGTTGACTTCAACAGCTTGTGTCAAAACATATGAGGAGTGAGATGTTTAGATCTCAGAGGAGCAAGGGAAACCAGGCAGGAAGGAGGTCTAGTAGTGTGTCTGGGGTGCTGCAAGGGAAACAGGGAGTTCTGGGGTGTGTCGCTCAGGAGCAGCTTGGGGAAAGCAGGAAGAGAAAATGCAAACAGGACTTAATATAATTTAATGGTAGAGAGAGGATCTAGAAGGCCATTAAGGTCTGAAGAAGCTAGGGAAATATTTTTTTCGTTAATGGAAGAGATATGGAAGATGAATTGGAAGCATAATATAGGACCACAATGTTTAAACATGAAAATAAATCCAAAAGTAATAAATAGCCTAACACTGGAGTTCAGTCAACACTCAAACAGCAGTGGATCTGATTAGGATCTCAGTTATTCTCCATTTGCACTGGCAGAACTGCACTGATTTAATGTGGCAAATTTGGTTCAAATCTCTGCCCTGAAAGCAGAATACAACTAATACCTGTGCTAAGCAGAATATGACTAATACCCGTGAGGAGATTCTTCAGCTATTTCAGAACTCCAGCATTAGGAAGGCTGAAAGACAGCTGATCAAAGGCTTTTTGGGTCCCATTTTTAGCTAGTCCTTTGCAAACACTTCACTCTGCACTGAAGTAGGACCTTGCTTCAAAACCTCTCAGATTTTACACAAATTATCAAAACATTTTTAAAAAAATAATAATAATTTTTAAAAAATGCATGAGGCTAAGGAAAAAACTGAGTTTATTCAAAGCATCTCTTTCCATCTGGTATCACGGAGGTATCCATATGTTCTATGTGCACATACATAAGACACATTTATGTACACATGTGGCTAGTGATGCTTTGGTTGGAAAAAAATATATACTTTTCCTTTCTTTTTAACCTTATCTGTGCATTCTTGGGTCATGCAGCCTTTGTGCTGACTCTGGACAAAAATCCCCCTTTGATGGAGGATACATGCTGAAAGGTAGAATTCTGAATTATGTTCTCTAAATTATCCCGTGCTCAGAGAGCAAGTATTGATTTTAAAAATGACTGAGCCAGACCTCGCACTGCAGTCCCCCCAAAGCACAACAAACAGCAGTCATGTGTTCAGCTACCAAGAGGCCACTGTGCTGGCATTGTTTCAAAAAATCAGAAAGTCATCAATCAACCAAATAGTAATCGGAATAAGTACATGGTATCTAAAGACACATTTTATCCAGTTACATGCTCCAATTCAGTTAGCTACGAGGAGAATTAGAACAATATTGGACCGATTAACAAGTCTACCTTGGGAACTGTGAGCTGTTAAGTTATTTATTTTGCTGCCTTGTATAAAAGAATGAGCAGAATTTCATCTGCATAGTTAAGCATTCAGTAACTTCCCACGATAAATAATCCAGCATCTCTTCGTGCTAGAGTGTTTTTTATGGAGCCTGATTGAGAACGCAGAATTTTACTGTAATTGTTTTCTGTAGCTTTCAAAGAGCTTGGGCACAATTGTGTTTCAGGAGGATTTTTATTTATTTCTTCGGGAGCTGTTAGTCATCATTGCAGGAATGGAACATCGCAAGCACTAAAATTATTAGGATCAGTGTATTCAAAACATCATTGAGTTTTATTTTAATGATACGATTTAAGGATCAATGCGAAAAAACACGGTTTAGAATTTGTCTTGCACAATTCAATGGGATCAATAATCTACGGTGTTGCTATGCAGGATGCGCTCCACAATAATACAAAACATACCATTTCTAAAGAAACACATGGTCGAAAAATACAGCGTTCAAGTGAATGCATCCAGCCCTGTGTACTTGCCCCTGTCTTTTGGGAGATACGATACTGGAACAGATAGAGTATACAAAATGCTGTGCAAGTTAAGATAATAGCTCGTACAATTAAGATGGTTGAATTTTTCAGTACTGCTGTACAGCACTTCCCATAATGAAATCTCCAAGTTTTAGGTTTAGAACTCTCAAGCTCAAATTGCAACTAAACATAGCACATGGTTTTCAGCACACAGGAATTTAATTTAACATTATTTTAATTCAATAAACCACTTATTTTCTAATAAAAGGTACATCTGTATTTAAGATGCTCTAGTGCTGTCTCCTAAGACCTAAGCTGATTTTTATATTGAAAATGTAATTTTCAGTGTTTGGGGGAGAGAACATTTTTCTGTTTTCTGACTAATGATAAATACAAAGGAATTCCTGTTTTCTACCCTGAGAGCAGCCCCCCTGTCTGTGTTGTGTTGTTTTATATGAAACCTGCAAGACACCATTTGCATGAGTTTGTAGGGGCTAGCTGTAACTCGGTTAGTGCAAGTTTGTACCATGCAGCCACTCCCTGCTCTTTGTTTCCTTAGCTTTCAAGAGACAGAAAGGTTGAAGGAGTGGAGCTTTAATTGCCAGCTCACCACAGGAAAGGGTGGCTTTTCTAGGTCCGAGCTTGCCACATGGAGCTGCAAGCACCACAACTAATCTGCGCCATACCTGGCCAGTGCATTCAGGTACTTGAGGGTCATTGTAATAACACACTGTCAAGTCCCATCCCTCTCAAAAGCACTTATATTTCTATCCTTTCTCCTTAGGGAAAAGAAAAAAATAACAGTTTTGGGGCAGCAGTGAATTCAAGCCAAGTGAGCAAGCTAGACATAGGCAGTGGTGATAGGAAACCTTTGAATGTTTGCCTTCCCTTGAAACAGTCACTGCAGGACACTGAAAAGTATGCAAAAGAAGCATTGCTGATTTGGTTAATAGGCCTGTGTGTTTGGAAATCAATAGCCAGAAAGGAGATAGGTACTAGTTCTTCTTCAGCGTCTTTGATGAAAAGCATTTTTGAGAATCTGTGTAGTGTAAAGCATGGGTAAAATGTCTAGGTCTGTTCAGGAGCTTTTTGTTGTTCACCTCCTCTGGGATTTTAAGTTCGATGGAAAACCCAGGTCTGTGACTCAGAAGCTCAGTCGCTTGCAAGTGGAACCTTTAACCATAGTGCTATACAAAGTTCTAGTTTAAATAAATAAGTAGCAGTAATGAAAAAAGTTTGGTTTTGATAGTTTTGAGGATGCATACAGCTTTTTCCATTTTTGCTGTTTAGCTAATAGGTCTCATTTCAGGGGCTTTTCTGCTCTGACATGTCTCTCATTCTCTGCATATGTTTTTCTGTCCTCGTTGTAGTGTTGTCAGAAGCCTCTGTACTGTAAAAAAAAATCTACTATACCTATAAGAAGCTTGAAGCATGGCGTGAAGGTCTTTTTACAGAAATATTAATACTTTAAATATTAAAATACTGAAATACTAATACTGTTAATACTGTCTTTACAGCAACAGAATAATGTTTAGGCTCATTTGGGGCCACATTATTATTATCTGGCCATTTTCCTCTAGGTCTGCAGTTTGATAATAAGAATAATTATTAACTGGAAGGGCAGCTGTTTTGGTTTGTGGTTTTTGGCAGCAGGAGCTATCACAGGCCAGGACACATGTTGCTCAGCTTACAGATATGGGAGCTAGAAATCAATACAGTGAGTGTCAGTTGCAACACTGAGCTCATCTTACTTCCAGAAAAGTAAATTATCTTTATTTTGTGAAAAAGAAATACAGAAGTTTAAAGATTCACCTTTGCTTACCAGAGAAGTAGATTTCTACAGTGTATTGCACTTTCTTGTTTTCCCTTATCTACCTTTTGAATAACCAGCCATGAGAAAAATCAGATGTAACATAGAGTAATTAACTGCATGAAAAACAAAGTTAGGAAAGCCTTCGGAAATGTTGAACAATAATGCAAAAAGCTGTTCATTGCACACTTGTGGGGCTTGTCCCAGAAAACTGACAAATGAAACCCACCTTTTAAGGACAAAGCCTCAGCCCCTGGCTGAGGGCAACAGTTTTTCTTCTTTCCTCTTCACAGTGGACTTTTCCTACAGTGCCAAGCTGACAGGTTTTTCTCTGAAGAAGTAGGTCTGTAAGAGGTCTGATATTTTTGCACATGGATGTTTGTAATTTTGGAATAAGGAGGGTATGAACAACAGAAGAAAAAAATAGGAGACAGTGTGATTTCTATCTTTTGAAGTCCCACGTGCCACCTAAAAATAGCCCTGTGCTGAAAGTAGCTGCTTTTCAAATACACTTATATTACAAACAAAATTCATGTGAAATCCAGGATAAAACATGGAGGCAGTGTTGGATAAAATAGGTGTTTTCCATTGAAGTAGAGCTCCTAAAAGTTGCCAAGATAAATTTAGGCCAACTGATAAGGGCAGAAGCAAATCCCTGACCAGCGTTCCCAGCACCTGTACCTCCCTGGGCCTGCTGGTAACCACCAAATGGCCATTAAATCCCCCAAAGCTCTCTGCTAGCTTCATCCAGGATCAAGCCATACTCTGCTCCGCACCTCCCATCCAGGTGGGTGAGTCTGAATGGATTCAGAGAAAAGACCAAAATGTGTCGGTCACACATATGTGTGGTTTCCATTATTTATTTTATTTTAATGATAAAATTGGGACCAGAGTGTTTTAGGAAGGAGGGAAAGGAATGCAGAGAAAGAAATCTGGCTTCTTTTCCCATTCTGCTAGTCTCTTACTGTAGCATAAAGACAAGGTCATAAAATGACCTGCTCAGCTTCTTCATCTGCAAAATGGGAAGCAGAAGAGTTGCCCGTGTTATTGCAAAAGTACAAATGTGAAGTCCTAACCTTCAAACTGTTCTTGTATGTTGCAAGAGGTTCTTCAGGTCCTAAAAACTATATGCTGCAATATATATTTATCAGAAATAAGCCAATGTACTTAACATTTTACTTTTTCTAAGGAAAAAAAAAAAAAAAAAGAGTTGTGCTAGAGCTGTTGGCCAGTTTTTTTGCTTATTACTCAGAGCCTGTGAGAATTACGAAATGTAAATGAAGCATAAGAAACACGTGGCTGTAGCCAGTGGTGGCAAACCTGTGTTGTAGTGAAAGTCTGGGTTATGGCCCAGTGGACTAGAGGAACATCAGGTGATATTTACATGTCTCAGAAAGGCTCCTCATTTGCACTTCATGAGGCAGAAGTAAGTCAGAAGTGCAAAAACCAGCGAATGGTCAGAAGCTGAAAATGAAGGGCAGCCAGGCTTCAGAAGACCTAGTTAGCTGGTGGTGCCGTTCTTGGCATCAAAATAATTTACCTCGAGGAATTCACAGCTATACTCTTCCCCTTCAGATGCAGCTCACTTCTGATGGGGTATCCAGCACTGAAAGCTGTTTTAAATGTAGTTTACTGTCTTCTCCAGCCAGGTGCAGGAACCGTGGGTTCATGGAGTGGCCAAGTGTGGACCAAGGTCTGGCTCCTGGGTCAGCTGAGGGAACAGCAAGGCCATGGTTCCCCCAGCAGCCCCACACCACTGGAGATCCGACATCATTCAGAACTTTTATTTTTATTCTAGTTTTTGGGATAGGAGAAGATGCTACCATTGTAGCATCTTGTTGTGTAGATGGTTTTCAGCTGTCACAACCCTTGGCTCAGTCTACTTTTTTTTCTGCCATAATTTAAAGCTGTTCTTGTGGTTGATGAGTTCAAATTCATATTGACTTCATAGTGCAGTCAGGGATGTTTTTTTGCCTGAATATTGACCAATATTTAATAGTAAAAAGAGGAAAATATTGTTAAAGGGGGTTAACAGCACTTCATTGCAGTATTCTCTGGCATCTTTTTGTGTAGGGGCCAAGAGCTGGGGTCACATCTCTTTTGCTCTTTCTAGGAGGTGTCTAGCAGCAGTGTCTTTAGGTCACAAACACTCTGAGACAGGACTGTCATTTCTGGCTTTTAATGAAGCTGTGACCACAGCTGTGCCTGTGAGGTGGCATGGAAATGCAGCTCTGTCCTACACGTCACCACTTCTGGAAGTTTGCAGCTGCAGACTGTCCAGGCTGCCTGATGATCCACTGGTCTCTCTCAGAGAATATGCTATCATCCATCTAGGAGATTCTCTTTCTGTTCTTATTTTTCTGCTTCTCAGTGTACCTACTAAATAGTGTAATCCTGAATCATCCATGGGACTTCCCATAATATACCCAATGGAGGAGCATTATTCTCGTTTTAAGACCACGTTTGATAAGAGAAAGAATAGGTGGGATTCAACCACTGTTTCTACAGATGTGTTTTGGACAGAATATGAAGGAAAAAACACCCTAGAGAAGGCCTTTTCTTATTCACTAGGCTGTGTTCAACAGCCACTCAGTAATCACTTCGAGCACTTTTTTTGTCAGCCTTTTGTTAGCCTTTTCTGTCCCTGCTATCAGTGCTGAGAGCAGTGCTACTGGATGTGGTTTGTTTCTTCTAAATAAAAACCTTGTTCAGAGAGGGTCATCCAAGTCTCCCAGCAACGTTTGTAGTCAATGGTGGGGTTGCATCAGGACTCCAGGAGCCTGGGCCCAGCTTAGCTGTTTCCCTACACTTAGATGAAGACTGCTACTGTCTCATCCATACAAATCAATGTGAATTCCCTCTGTGCTGCAAGATGCCCTAGATTCATGATTTCATCTATGGTTTTTAGGGACTCTGCCCTTAAAATTCATGGCAAGTGGTTGAGAGGTTATGTCCTTTTCATGACTCACTTCAGGGAGTTTCACAGATGTCTTCAGTTTGTTCAAGCAAGATTTGTACCTCTTACTCTGCAAGCAGAAGAGAATTGCCATTAGCCTTTTATACTGGGCTTAATTGCCAATTACCAGCAGGTAAATAGCTTCATAACACTGCATTGCTCCAAGCTTATTATACTTTGCAAAGGAGTCCTGTGCAGAGAAATCTCTTTTCTATTAGCAGAAAGAAGGCCAAAGGGCATTGAAAGACCTTCCTGTTTCTTCCAGAGTTTCCAATACCTCCTTGTAGGTTTGAGAGCAACCCACACATTTAGCTGGAATATCAGTTATTCCTGTTAAAAAAAAAAAAAAAAAAAAAAAAATCTTAAAATGTCTCCATCCAAAGGTAAGGGTGAAAAACATAAAAAATAATTGTCTTTAGGCAAAGCAAAAAAAAAACATGTATTTTGAAAATTGTATAATTGTATCAGCATAAATAAGCATAATTTTCCAGGTGATTTTTGAGAAACAAGAAATTGCAAAATGAAGTAAAGAAAGGAGCATCTGTTTTGTTCTAGTTTGTTTAATCTAATTTCTCCATATTTTAAGCAGAGTAGGTCACAAGCACAGTCCAGTGGGGGAAGTTCAGTATATTAAATGCACCAGCAGTTTTCTCTTGCAAATTGATTATTTAAATTGAGCTACTCTCAAGTAATGGACAATACCCATGCTTACAAATATGAGTTTGTGTGCAGATTTGCATTCCAATCCATTGTTCTTTCTCTCTATACTACCAGACACATCCTATTCAATTTCTTTGTGCTTAATGCAGCACTTATGTCTTAAAATTAAAACTTCCTAATGTTCACAAATTACTGTAAGGAAAGAAAATCCTGCTTTTCTTTCTTTTCTGCATTTTTTTTCTCTCTAGACCCTGAGCCGTACTGACACATACATATTTGCCAGATGCAAGAAATCGTTTGCTGATAAAATTAATGCAGAATTTTGTGATGGTTAAACAAAAACTTGCTCTGACATTTTGGCTCAGCTATGATATCCATAGTGCAGGACTGGAAGGCAGTGACTACACACTCCTCTTCCAGGAACAACGAGAACTGGCCCCCCAGTGGGAGAGGCCTTTTTTAGAGGAGATGAGGGAATCACTGGTGGTGGAATTCACCCAAATATTTTTGGAAGGATACCTGAACTCCAGCCTTTTTGCTGCTCTGAATTTTTGGATAGTTCATGGACTAAATCAAGTTGTTTTGTGTTTCTTGCATCATCCGCTGCTGCAAACAACATCATCACAAATGGGAAGTGATTCTCTCAGTTAAGCACAGACACTCCTGATTGCTCTAGCTGAACAGAGCTCTGCACAGGCAAACATGCCTGTTGCTGTTTCACTATGGAGTTTGAATGTGAACAATCCTGTCTGATGGAAACCGAGTTCCCATATTCATCTGTGTCAGCCCATGACAGTCTCTTCTGCAGATCTCCTAAATTTCACTGGCAGATCTGAGTTAGGCTTTGTTCCACCGAGCCTGTTCGGCAACTTGGCCATAGCTCATAAGCCTTTGCTTTTGGAGTTAGACTTGCCAGCGTAGCTTTAAACTAAATGGGGCTGTAAATCAAAATGTCCTCATCTACAATTCTTCCCTGAGCATCTGATTACAATCATGCTGCATGCTATTTGTACAGGGATGTTTAAAACTGCCTATAAAACAACAGCTAATTGCTGATCTGCTTAATTAAAGAGAGCCTTTTGTTGTCACATATACAAAGATAAATGAAATAATCAGCTTTGGACTAATGAGAGATAATTAGATTATGCAGTCCGATAAATAAAGACAAAAATCCTGCAGATTGCCACTGTACTGGGCAGCCGAGATTGCAACAGGGTTTAGGGATGCACTTTCCTTTCCTTTCCTTTCTATTTTAGCTATAGTGGTTTGGATTTTTTCCATCCCAGAGTTAATACTGCGATCAGAGCTTCCAAGCATTAATGACTGATTTTATGTACTATAATTTAGGATTTGTTGTTTAACAGCAGCATGATTTGCATGGACACAGTTTAATTTACTCAGAATTTAAGCTTCCATTTAAAGAAAATTTACTAGATCTTAGTGTCCGCTGACGACCTTCCAGCCTGAACAGATGCACGCTGCCAATGGGTCTTCTTCGGGGAGGGTAGGTAAAATCAACTGGCCTTGCTTATTCTTCTTGTTATTCTCTTTAGGTCAATAAGTAAAGGTTCCTTTTTTTTTTTTTTTTTTTCCCCAAAAGTCTAAAATGCATATGCTCAGTGGGTGCAAATACCTTGGTCTAGAAATAGCAATATAAAGGTCTCTAGTGGAAAGCACATTTCAGTGTAATAATACCATTTCTCCAAGACTGGTATCCAAGGCTGTGGGGAAAGACCTGAGCAGCTTTCTTTAGTCTGCCTTAGTTTTGTGCTCTAAGAAGAAATAATTTTATCTCGCCAAAAGATGGTTATCAGGCATGCACCTAACGCATGCAAACCATTGGATCAGCCTAGGGCTTGTGGAAATGCACAAATCCTCACTTAGCACTAGCTGTTGTATTACCTGTCTTCACATTAGAGCTCTCCTGGAGGTGTGATGCAATGCGCATTGTAGGACCGAAGGGATGTTACATATTCATGTGCTAAACTCACCAAAAGGACTGGATGCTTGCATGTTTCTTCCATGTGCAGCATTAAGGTCACCTTCACAGGGATATACTATCACGCTGGCACCTATTTTCAAGATACTTTTCAAGCCTCTTAAACCTAGATTAGACCAGTTAATTATTTTAATGCCTTCACATTCGGAGTTAGGATGTTGCATGGTATTAATGCCCATTTAATTAAAGATAACCAGCCAAATCTTCCATTTAAGCTTCATAAGTTTTGCCTATTAACAACACTGTATTTTGTCTATCCTTACACGGTTCATGACACAGACGCAAAGAAGAAAGGTGGAGAAGTGCATTTAATTAAATAGCAGGCATAGGTCAAGTGTCTGCCTCATATGTCACTGTACAGCAAAGACGACTGTAGGAAAATATCAGGAAATCAGCTACCCAGTAAACAAGAGAGCCCTGTGGGCCCTCTCCCTTGCAGAGACCATCCGCAGAGAGCCCTGCCCTGCCTGGTGCTTCATCCATGTTCCGTCATGTTTACTTACTCAGGTAGGAGGAGGGGAGCAGCAGGACCATCTGAAAGAGGGGATGTTGCTTATCATGAGCAAGAGAAGCTGAACTGGGCCCTTTGTTACTGGGCAACTGTCTTTTTCCTGGATTTTTGGGAAGATCTATATACAACACGCATCCTTCTTCATTAAAGGCAGCTCGAACACTTAGCCAAGGTCAACTTGGCTAAGTGTATCTGGGGTAGAGCTGTGGGGAAACAAGAGGTTAAGGCTGGTAAAATTCCCGGAGTATCTTATGGGGGTGAAGAGAGAGCATATAAGAAAAAATCAGTAGACATACCGTGTCCAGCTACTTAAGAGAAATGAGCTTTTAACTCATGGAAGTTCTGCGGTAAATGTTTGTCAGCTGATATCTGGGCTGCTCATCACTAACTACTCAAAAACTATCCTTCAGCAGTTAGTTTCTGAAAAGAACCTTTTCCTAGTTTCTTTATCTTCTGAAAAGCTGCCGTGATGCTGCAGGAAGCCAGCCTGGGCTCGTCCACATGATCTGGAGGCCTAAATCCTTGGTCAGGACACTCTGCTGACAGGTGCTGCCCAAACGCAGAGCAAAATCTGATCCTGGTGTCGGTAGTTTGTGAACACATTATTCCCACACATTCTTCTTTGTGGATTATAGCAAAGGGCTGTGTTAGATTATCTTTTCCTTAGGGACAGGCCACAATTGGAATCCCTTTGAAGTGTGGATTTAATAAAAATTTGCAGAAGGTGAGTGCTCCCTTAACGCCTGTATTTAGACCAAGATTTGGCATAGGCAATTGGAAATTTGTAGAGAGCAACAATGTGAGAGACCTCCATCGAGATCAGCTTTTGCACTTGGGTGAGAAAGACAATTTCTTTTTTTTTTTTTTTAGTAATCATGCAGGGGCTTTGCTGATGCTTCTGGCCATCACAAGGACCTCTCCTCTCAGGAGTCCTTGGTCCTAGGGCAGCCAGCAGCTCTCTGCACCACCAGGCTGCAGCCTTTGTCCCTTGAGGCTCAGCTGCACATTTCAGAGCGGAGGGGTCACCAGCAGGCATGTCCTTCACCAAGTTCATGGGAGAGCACTGCTACAGCTTTGTCAAAGGCAATGGCAGCACCACAGGTTGTAGGACCAGCCTAAATAGATCGAGGACTTGATCCTAAAAGACAGGAAGAGACAAAAAAATAAAAAAAACTCACCTCATTTTTGTAAATTAAAGGTCCTAAAAAGGCTTTTCTTTCTTTCAGAAGTTCAAAACTTGGTACCCATGTTCCTTTCCTGATTTTCTGTTTTCCTCTTTTCTTGCTTGAGCTGTGTCACTGGACTCTTCATGCAGCAGTTCAGAGATAATAAATGTTTATTGGCAATTTGCCAGCTTGAACTCACAAGTGCTGAGCTTATTCATTACTAGGAAATAGTGGTTCTCTGTGGGGAAACGTCTCCAAACATGATTAGCAAAAACAAAAAAAAAAAAAAAAAAAGGAAAGAAAGAAAAAAGGAAAAGGAAAACCCCTTATGAAAAATGTGTGCACTGCTAATCAGTGGCAAATAGTTTCTATGTAGGTTTCCTGTCATGTTTTGAATGCTGCTGAATATAGATGGGGAGGTGGGAAGCAGGGAGGTGCCACCATTTGTCACAACAGGCTTTGTGCAGAGAGCCCAGACCACCCCAGCAGGATGAGGAGATGGACTGCATAGAGGTGGGAAGGCTGCTTTTTCTTTTTTTTTTTTTTTTTTAACCTTCCTGTGCGCTTCTAACTGCCTAACCTAGTCTCGAGGATCTAACAGCTACATCTTATCAGGAAAAGAATTAACCCCGGCCTCTTCCCGGAGCAACCTCAGAAAGCACTGACACGGCGGGACCCGAAGCACGGGTCAGAGCCTCGGAGCAGGTGCCTGCCACAGGTGTGCAGAGTTAGACCAAGGCTCTGAAGGTGGAAGATATTTATAGCAAACTAACGTAGACTTGTAATGTAGATGCAATTGAGATTTAAAAAACTACTATGAGTATGTTTTTCATTATCTTAAAAGCACATTTAATGTTTACAGTGGGGTTATAATGTAGATCTGTGCACAAATGCTCAGATAGGACTAGGTGCCACGTTACCTGTCTCCTCCTCAAAGCTTTTCTAGAAGCAGCTGATTTCTGACAACAAGCAAAATCCATTTGTGTTAACACAGAAACCTCAGGGGAACTCTAAAATGATTCCTGAATAATTTTAAAATCAAATTGTGTTTACACTCCCAACTGCTATAAGTCCTCTTTCAAATTCATTGGCAAACAAGTGAAATGCATCTGGCCTCTGTGATTTATCACAGGAGGTTTCATCAAGGGGAGCACAGCTGAAATGAAGCACATATTCTCAAAACTAACAGGCACATCCTGCCCCTTTCGGGTATGCTGGAGTTTTTGTCAGTGACTTTTGAGACAGTCTTATTTGTTAGAAAGAGAGTGTACTCTAACAACATTTAATGTCATGACTTCTAACATTTGCTGCTGAGGACATTTTGCAAAATACTGATGAAAAATCAGGATATAAATTATTTGGCTCACAATTTCCCTATTAATAATTCTTCTCATTCTCATGGCACTTCTCAACCGAGAAACTCAATGCACATCTGTGCATAGAAATAGAGATGATGGCAAGCTGCCGGGGCAGCCGCGTAATGCAGCGTTTGCTCCTCGGCAGCACTTGTGCAGAGACCTAAAACAACCTGGTCCTTCCCCTGACACCTGCCCAACAGTTCCAGGCTGTAAGCACTACATCTAGCATGCTACTGTGAATTTTTGTGAGTAAAAATTCAGTAACATAATTTCTGGCATTATTTTAGTGGACATTGCGGTAAACAACGTGTCCTGCAGCATCGAGGAGTTCAGCTTTAGCTTTAAGGAGTAGATAAGTCTCTCTGTATTCATTGAATTAGAAGAAACGTGCAATTAGCACAAATGAAATAATTATTGTATTGTGCAAAACTCATGATTAGCTGTGTTGTTACAATGTTGTGGCTGTGCTGGTATCACAAAAAGAAAAACCTATTACAAAAGTAGAGGTTTTAATGCAAAACTTAATTCATCTAGTTTGTCTGTTTTCCAGTTTTTACAGGGCACATGTGAGAAGCAAAGCTGCATATTCGCTGTACTGCTTCATGGTCAAATTGCCCACTGCAGCCACAGTAACCGTGATTCTCACAGCTTTGCATTCTTGTATCTGGTAACTGATTATGCAGTTGTGTTAACTCTGCATCAGCATGGTATTGTAGGCATTTAGTTTTCTTTTTTATTTTAAAGTCTGAGTGAAAAGGAAGCTGGTAGTATTGAACTTTATTCACTTACCACTACTGTTTGCTTTCCTAATAGTTTGCTCTGGCAAATACATACACACTTCATGCCAGTTATCCACAAAGACCATTGACTGCAGCAGAACTAGTCAGAATATTAAATACAAACACCCGTAAAACTTCTTGCAGGATCAAGCCCTTAGCATTTTAAAGGAATCAATTAAAATTTACACCTTATTTGTTTGGAGGTGGCTGCTGCATCACTTTTTGGATGGAAATGCTTCACATTTTGCACTGTGATGTCTCTTGGCAACAGACGAGAAACAACTTTTAAAGAGTAAAAGCTCAGCATCTAAGCAACAGCAATGTAAAAACCCTGTGCGTTTCCTGGGGTGGTGGGGAAGACTTCCTGTAGGTGTGTAATTAATACTTTTAAATAAGAAATGTTATGACTGTAGGAACTTTCTCAGCCCCTTATATTTCAGAGTCCACATAGTGACTCCAGAAAAGAAGGCAGAGAGAAATCTGGGCCTGTTTTGGTTTTCATAAACAACACCAGAGATGCTGATGAGTGGCCCAGACATCTTCATTTGCTGTGCTTCCAGCAAACCGAAATCTGCATTAAAGGTATAACAATACCAGCTTTCAACGTATTGCTATGAAATTTTATTTTCAGCACTTATTTCAGCCACTTCTTGGCCTACTTTGAATCATGCATCAGTCATTAAAAGAGCATGATTTCTGTGTCCCCCAGCTAGTGTACCACTGCAACAGGGCAGCCCATGGAGCCTCCTGGAAGCAAGGGGCAGGATTTTTTGTTGCTTTATTTACTGGCTTACTCTTCCGTGGGAACAAAGCACCATTTGATCCCATTTTTTTTTCACTAAATCTCATTTGCTCAGTACTTTACCCCCATCCGCGTGTTCAGCAGAGGTATTTACGGCACTAATAAGAGCATTTTTCTATGAAAGGTCAAAAATCATTGCTCTTAATACATTTGTGGATCCGCTTTTGAGCATTATCTGTTAGTGGTAGCAGGTACATTATAGTGGAGACTGAAAAACACTTTTTTAGTGTCAGAATTATTTAATAAATTATTCAAGCATATATTAGAAAACTTTCTCTTTTCTTCCATCAGTAATAATACATGTGACCTGAGAACTATTGTCTTCTTACGTCTTATTTTTAGCAACCTACCTGCAGAGGGGAAAGCTGCTGTGTTCTCACTGCTGAGCATGTGGGAATTCAGTGGTCTTCTCTTCCAATATGTTATGTCTGCAGATCAGAAGAGACACAGACTCATCCCTGGCCAGGAAGCTGCTGGCTCCATTCTCATTATGGCAGATTGATCAGTTTATACTGATTACAGGAAATGGCTGTTAACAGGGTGAATAAATAACACATCTCTGAGCAGGGATTGTCTTAAAATTTATGATTCCTCTCTCCAAAAATGATGATGTTGAAAATCAGAGGAGGGGCAAAAATGTTCTTTTCAATCACAAGAAAAGATTTGCTCCGTTTCCAATAACAGTAGATGTTCACTTTCCAATTTACACAGAGGAAAAAGTAAGCATCAGTTTGTCCCTTCAAATTTTCCCTGACAGACATGCCGTATCCCAGCTAATATGCACAGTGATTAGCACACAGTGTCCTTGAGTAATTGCTATGTCATTTTGATAACGAATGGTCGGCTGATACTGGAAAGGCAGAAGAGTTACACAACACCCAGACTCCAGGCTGACAAAATGTCCTCTACCATGCATGTGCCAGGGGACACTTGTCAGTGCCTTTCGAGCTGGCCATTTGGACTTGGGGAGTGCTTCACTAAGAGATGGAGAAAGACTGGGAAAAAAAAAAAAAAAAAAAGCAATTTAAGTAAACTTTTTACATTCAAGCCATTCTAACCTATCCACATTTTAACATTATTATGCTCATTATATCTATTTCCATTCTCTTTTATCAGAAACCAGGTTTTTGCATCATATTATAGCTATTTGCTTTACCACGAGCATAAGTAAAGTTTAAAATAAAAATAAATTCCATTTTAATATCACTGAATGTAGAGTAAGCATGTTTGCACTAAAGTTTTCACCTCCATTTGCTTTGGCTGCTTATTATAACTTAATAAGTTTTTCATTCAGTTTGTAAAGTGCCCCTTTTTAGCCTCTAGCTACTGGATGACACCATCTGTGATTTCCAATGAAATTAAATTAAGTGAAAATTCAATCAACCAAAAGATTGTTGCTTCCACAACTTCACTGAGTGGCTTGGGATCGTACTATGTGACATGTCTTTCAAACTGGAAGCACAACCTCTGTGTGAGCCAGTTAAAGGAGACTGCCCAGAGAACGGCCTAGTTGGCATGCTGTTTCCAGTGTATCATGCTGGGTTTAATTAATGATTAATTGTCATTAATGACCCTGTCTCAGCTCTTCTTTGCAATAGGTATTTGGGGTGACTTCTCCATTGCTCTTCAACTAGAAGCATGTCTTTACAACACCTGCCATGCTCTGAGAGCACAGCTTTGCCCATCTGAGCAGTGCCCTGAGCGCCCACCAGCGCTGCCCCGCTAAAAAAAAATGGTATTTTTTTTCCCCACACTCTTTCATGAACATGCATAAATAAAAATTATAAACTAGTTCCCCTTCCACAGTGCTCCCCTTTGAGTCAGAAAGATATGTTTATTTTGTACCACCTAATTTTTACAGGATTTTCCAATAGGACTTTGCACAGTCCATGCTCTAGTTGACTCATAGTGTAGTTACCAAAGAAGTAGTGATTTCCACCACAGTGGTGAGCTAATTTAATAATGGACACAAATGATAACTTACAGAACCAGAGCATCGCAGTATCTGATGATAATCCCTGCACTTCCCAGCAAATACTTTGGGAAGGTGGGGATCGATGCCTAATAGGATTGGTTATTATCGGTATCCTCCTGACACATCTAGTTTTTTTTCATCTTAATACAAAAACAAGGTCATTCTGAGACTCCTTTGGCAGAAAAACTTTACCAGAAATTTGGAGTCTTGGGTGTTCTGTTTTTTTAAACCAGAATGTCTTTGTGTCTTCTAATATTGAGTTTGTGGAACTCACTGCAAGGAATGTGAGGTTCTTAGCTCTGGTAATGTGTACCACAGAAGCAGGCAGTAATTGGTGGCAGCACAATTCACCTTTCATTTTATGTTAGCATCTAGATACAAATTCCTTTTCCAGGTGGACCATGTAGTATCTGATGCATCTCCTTGAACATGACAGTGGTGAGTTAACCATTTGATGAGGGTTAGCTGTGTCAAAAAAGGGGCAAAAGAAAAGAATAAGACCTCAATCTATTTTTTTTATGCTTGTTTTCAGTGAAATTCGGTGTGTGTATAAGCAAAATAGGCATCACCAGATGTCACTATTACACATTTCTTTTTTGTGTGTGGGAGCAAATGACCAGTTTGGGGAAGATGTATTATCAATTCACGCTTAAGCATTTGGTACAGTGCTGTCAATGAGGGTAGGAACAGCACTGCGAGCTCAGGAGAACCCATTCTGTTCTCTGGGCCTGGTGTCGTGCACTTCACTGACTGCTGGGAACACGGGGAGCAACTGGGCTGAGGTTCCTGGGGGGCTGCCCCAGGCACTGCTGTGGCACCTCTGTTCTGGAGCAAATATGACTGTGTGAACAACAGGCATTCCGATAGAACCTGTAAACACATCATCACATCATCTTTGCTGACAAATTGTCTGTAGAGACCTGACCATCTGCTACTATCTAGCAGAAGATAGAGGTATTCTAGCAAGGTGCAACATTCGCGTTATTTGCTTTGCAGTGCTGTGCATTATGCACCAAACAGAGAAAACAGAAGCTTAGCTATGTAGAGAAGAAGTGGTAGAGCATAAGGACTGCACATTCACTTTTACTATAAAATTGAAGGTATGAGCTTACCTTAGCAAATATTTATTTCTAAATATTTATTTAAATGTTCTGTATTTGAAGCAGAGCCATATCGGTGTATCTTTCTCAGAGGACACTGTGTGATTTCTAGCAGTGTCTTGCACTTCAGAAATCCTCAGTGCCGTGTGGGTAATGCATTGAGTGATTCTAAGACTCAGCCCAGGCTAGAGCTTTATGGTAAATTCCATCTGCATACATGAGGAGCTTGCAAAGAGCTCCTCTTCTATCTTGTCACAGGTGGGAAGGGCATAGGCAAGCACAGAAGGAAGTTTGGATGTTTGCTGAAGGAAGCAATATTGCCTGGCTATTGCATGAGGGGCAGTGGCCTAGATTTGTGTTTGTATACTACCACTGAAGCAGCTGGCATAGATGCAAACACTTGATATGAATTGAAGTCTGTATGGAGGAGGCTTTAGCTTCAGCCTGCCCTGGCCACAGGGTGCTGAGAAAACTCTGCTGCCCCCAGGGGCTGAGCTGGGGGGGAGCCCTGAACAGCTCCAAGGTGTATGTGGTTGTTCCTTCAGTCTGAGTAATACACCAGAGATGCCATCTTCAGCAAAAGGAAGTTCTGGCAAATTCAGCTGTTGTCAATAGCCTCCTTTCTAGCCCATCTCCAAAGCTCACTGGAAGCAATGGGATTTTTTAAGCTGGTTGAATAGCTTTTACATCATTCTCTGTTAGATTTCTTGCTTCCAAAATGATGTTGTGGCCTGCGATGTGCTGCATTGCAGGTCAGTCTCTGGAAGAAGAAGCGTTGGAAGTGATGAATCACTCTCTTTCTTGATATACTGCCATATAGGCCTATAACTGTCGTAAATAATATTGCAGTGATTGAACTTAAAAGTCACAATCTGTGAAAGAATGTAATCCCCTCTGAACATTCCCAGCGGCCTGCCTTTCACTCTTTACTACTAACTTTCACCTGATTCACTTCAAGGGGTGAAACTCTTTCAAGATATTTTCTTTCCTTTGCTTAAGGAAACACTATCCTTTCTCTGCATGCTCTGACATTGCTTCTCCCCCTGAAAGCTGGTGCCCTTGGACATCTGAACCTCATTAAATTTAGAAAGCCCACTGACTTGGTTTTGTTCCCATAGTGATGTTGCAAATCTCATATTTGCAAGGGAATTGCATGGGATTCTTTCTAAACAGATTTGTTATCTCTTGTGGTTGCTGCCACTAAGTGTAATATCACAGCCTCTTCATTTAGAAAACACAACTCTGAGACCTTTCCATGAGGCACGGAGCTTTACAGCAATGCAGCAGAAAGGACACCATGCAGCAAAGAGGCAACTACATGATACGTTCAATAGCGGGGAAACTGCAGAAGGCAAAAAGAAAGAAAGGAAAAAAAAAAAAAACCTGTGAGTGAAAAAACAGACAGACATGGTGTGAGCCAATGTCAGCTGAGGACAAATCTCTGATACAGCAGAAAGCATTCACAGCCCTCTCAACTACATTTCAGGATGAGGCAAGTGACAGGGGACTTACCCGTGCCAAAGGAGCAGGCCTTTCATGACTGGCAGCTCCTGGCCACGATGGCCACAGCAGGCAGGTGCTAGCACGTCTCCATCTTAAGTGCTCGTGCCTGGGCACTCAGAGGAGGACCAGTTTTATTAAGCCAGTTCAAGGCCATCAAAAAGATAATACTGCTGATAGCTCAGGACTAAAATAAGACAGTGCATTATACACTGTGTAATAAAGGTAGCTGGAAGCTTTACAAAATGGCTGGAGAAATCTCTAACATTAATATTTGATTCAAGATCTTTTAGTTGTCTTTGGCATATTTTGATTGAGGAGGTTTGTGAGTATATTTATTTATTTTTAGATTTATGTAAATATGCACAGTCAACATCTCTTGAGGCACCTGCATGGCACCCACTAACATTTACAGTAACTACAAGCCCATCTCCATCAGAGTGAAGAAGCAACCCTGCTCAGCCCACTGAAATGAAAACAAAACAAAACAAAACAAAAAAAAAACACAGCTGCTTTGTTGTAATGAAGAGTCTTACAAAAGCCCAGCATAGTTCACAGTGAGCAGGGACGTCTGTGTGACTACAAGGGTGCTATCATCCCAAGGCAGCACGGCTGAGGGAGGGGGTGCCCGGGGTCCGTGCTGGGGGCTGACATCTGGACACCACTTGGCACGCTCAGGTGTAATTCGCACGGGGTCCAGCTCGTGTCCTGCAGGAGCGCGGGGCAACGGGCAGTGCAATCTTTGCTCTGCCCCAAGCCCAGTGACTGCGCAGACCCAGCTGCCCAAGGAGAGCTGGCTACAATTCTGCCTTTGTAGCCAGAAATGTGGCTTTTATTGGAGACTGAATTATAAAACAACATCTTGTATTTTCTTAAGATTTCTGGCAAATATTTGAGAATCTTCTATTGCTTTGAAAGCATAGGGAAACATTTCTTTTTTTTGCAATTTTTTTCATTTTCTGTTTTCTTAGAATAGTGTGAGGTGTCATAGAATAATTATTAAAAGAAATAGGTTAAAGGGGTGAGATACTAGGCCCTCAGCTTTTGTTTATTGGTTTGTTTTTTTCCAAAAGCAACTTTTCAGTCCTCTTTAAATTCTTTTACACCTGGAACTCCTTTTTTAGTTACCTACAGTTCCAACAAAGCAGGTTTTTCTATGCTGCATTTTTCTTTCAATAGAGGATAACTAACAAAATATTTTATTCTAGGAAATTGTTAAATTAGAAGGTGATTTCTCCCTGCACATGCTTTTATTTAGTTTCCAGAACCATCTTCTTTGAGTAAAGATGTAAATGAAAAAAAAAAA